TATCTCTCTAACTTGCATTTCTCTCTCTCTCTCTCTCTCTCTCTCTCTCTCTCTCTCTCCCTCCCTCCCTCCCTCCCTCCCTCCCTTCCCCTCTCTCTCCTTCCTCCCTTGCCCTTCCATTGTCTCTACAAACTGATTGAAAAATGTCTCAGGTGAAGATTAACAACAACAACAAAAAATAGGAGTGCTGTTCTTGTACTTGCTCATTTTTCTGACAATACCTTGGACATTCACTCATACCTGCAAATTTGAATTTACTTCTTTTAACAGTTGTGTAGTGTTCTTAGCTTTGGGAACCATCGTTGTCCCCCCATTTATAATTGACTAGTGGCCCGATGCACAAACTAATGCACATTGAAAGGAAATTAATTAGAAGAAATATTTTAATATTGCTATTTGCCCTTTCTCTATAATAGAAGTGTCAATCAAATTCATGACAGACAATGACAATTGAAAACACATGTGCAATTGGTGCCTATGAGAGCTTTATCTATATTGTGTATACACAAATCAACTTAGCATTGATATAGAACAAACATGCTTAATTAGACCTACTTTCTGATTTAGCTAAACTTTTTATAGCCTAGTGAAGCACCCCAACTTCTACTTCAGGTAACTGTTGGCAGTAAATATCAACAAGAAGCAGATTATTATTACAGATCTCCCAGGGAGAACAAAGAGTGAAATATTTAACTGTAGCAGTGTTTGACTATATTCTGTGCAATGAGAAAACCTGAAGTTATTTTCAAGGTTCACCATTTATTTTAAGTCGGCTAAGTTTCTAAGCTATAAATTTCCATTTTCTGGCTAATGAAAAGAAAATAGGATTTCAACAAGTCCACTATCTACTTCAGGACTTCTGTGAGGATCAAATGAGGTGAGGCACGGGAAAATGCTTCCCTTCACAGATATTTGGTTACAGTGTAAAGTGTTTTCCACCTGGCTGTAAAGGAAGTTGTGTTCCTAGGCTGCAGAAACTGCAAGGAGGCTAGTCGTCACCAGGTAGAGGAAGCCAGTCATTGCTATGTAACATAATTACCGGACAGAGGGAGGGACACTTAGCATATTAGCATATATATATTATATCTACATATATATTTTATATATATGTATCTCGAGAGAGAGAGAGAGAGAGAGAGAGAGGTTGTATCTACAAACTTTGCCATAGTATATACATGCATATAGACAATCTTGCACATTTGTGTAGATATTTCTTTTTAGTTTACTGGGAATGGACTTGCACATTTAAATTTATCTAATGTATGTATTACAAATTGGCCCTCAACAGGTCATTGTTATAATTCCAAAGACCAAAAACACTGAAAACCCAAATGCCTTTTAATGTAAAATTATGTGATAGGATCTGATATGAGTGTATTGTATGGAAAATTCCTGACCTGCACTTATGATTGTGGTAATGTCCAATCTTTTCTTTTTTCTTTTTAAAAAAAATATATTTTATTGATTTTTTTACAGAGAGGAAGGGAGAGAGAGAGAGAGCGCCAGAAATGTCAATGAGAGAGAAACATCGACCAGCCGCCTCCTACACATTCCCCTACCGGGGATGTGCCGGCAGCCAATGTACATGCCCTTGACTGGAATCGAACCCGGGACCTTTCAGTCCACAGACCGATGCTCTACCACTGAACCAAACTGGTTTCCGCAAATCTTTTCTTTTTTAAAATCCTCACCCAAGGATATTTTTCCTTTTTTTTTTTTTGAGAGAGAGAATGGAAGAGAGTGGGAAAGACAGAAATGTCAATGTGAGCTTGATTGCCTCCTTCATAAGCCCTGACCAGGGCCCAGGTACGTGCCGTTATTCTGAATTGAACCGGAACACTTGGCTCTGCAGGCTGATGCTCTATCCACTGAGCCAAGCCAGCATGGCCTGTTCAGCCTTTTCTATGTCCAAAGAATGTGAATTTTCATTTTACTGCAGAAATAATGATGTGGTTGATTATTAGGTCTTGTCTCAAATCCCAATGAGGATATAATAATAGTATATAATTCCTTTTTAAAATTGGAAAAACTCAGTTTCAAAAAACATATGGCCTTAAGAATTTTGAATAGGGGAAATTTTATTGTGCTTATGTACATTGTCAGCAGTATATGAATACAAAACCATTTTTCTTTTTTAAAATTTTATTTTTCAATTATAGTTTACATTTAACATGTTTTATATTAATTTCTATTGTACAGCATAATGATTAGACAGTCATAGTTTACATAGTGACCTCAATATTTTTACTGTCCACCTGGCAATATACATAGCTATGCAATATTAATTACTAGATTCTCTATCTGTATTTCACAGGCCCAACACTATTTTGTACCTACCAATTTGTAGTTCTTATTCCTTTCACTTTTTTTTTTACCCAGCCCTCCACCCTTTTTCCTTCTGTCTATTCTTTGTATTTATGAACCTGTTTTAATTTTGTTCATTTATTTTGTTCTACAGATTACACATATAAGCGAGATCATGTGGTATTTGAAGGTATTTTCTTAACAGTAAAATTTATGAGTGTGTTAATGTCCAAGAAATGGATTAACCAATTTACTTGAATATTTAATTTACTTCAGTAGAGTTTTATATAGGGAACGTTATTCTCAAAATATTTCAGTTTGCTTAAAATCTTTTTGAACATTGTCCTATTACTTGCATGTGGTCTGACATGAAGTCCTAACAGCCATTTTTTTCCTATTGATTGTGGGAGATTTCACCATTTCTTTTAGATCTTGGACTTGTTGTACAACAAACAACAACAAAATTTCTTAAATTTTGAATATTACACGCAGTGTTGAAAGGTACTTATAAGAATAACTTGGAATCTTGGATGGTGTGGCTCACTTGGTTGAGCATTGTCTAGTGCACTGAGAGGTTTTGATGTCAATTCCTGATCAGGGTGCATGCCCGAGTTAGGGTCTCTATCCCCAGGAGAGGGTTTGTAGGATGCAGGTACTCAATATTTCTGTCTCTCTTATCAATGTTTCTCTTTATTCCCATCTCTGTCAAACCAATAAAAACATTAAAAAATAAAAGAGTAACCTGGAAAATGAGACCTACTAAGAGGGCATTGGCATTAATATAGTCTTTACTATTTTTATTTAAAATATATTTTAATGATTTTTTACAGAGAGGAAGGGAGAGGGATAAAGAATCAAACATCGATGAGAGAGAAACATCAATCAGCTGTCTCCTGCAAACCCCCTGCTGGGGATGTGCCCACAACCAAGGTACATGCCCTTGACTGGAATTGAACCTGGGAATCTTTAGTCTGCAGCCTGATGTTATATCCACGGAGCCAGAGAGAGGAAGGGGGAGAGAGAAATAGAAACATAGATAGGCTACTTCCTGCACAACTTTCACCAGGCATCAATGCCGTAACTCAGGCATCTGCTCTGACTGACAGTCCAATTGCAATCTGTTTGTGCATGGGATGACCCTCAACCTACTGACCATATCAACTAGGCTAGTCTACTATTTAAGTTACTTTTTTTTGCTTGGTCAGTAATGCTCAGTGGTTAAGTGTTAACTTAGGAACCAGGTGGTCATGATTTGATTTCCAGTTAAGGCACATGCCTGAGTTGCAGCCTAGATCTCAAGTGGGGAACATGCAGGAGGCAGCTGATCAATGATTCTCTCTCATCATGGATTTTTCTATTTCTTTCTTTCCTTCTTTTCCTCTCTAAAGTTTAAAATATATATGTATTAAATTTTTTGTTTTTGGGTGGAGGGTATCTGTATTTGAGTTTGATTTAAATGTCAATGTAATGTGAGCATTACTTTACTATTATTTTGTAGGATTTCATCTTAATTCTATATAATAAACTAATGGGCAAATCATCCCAATGGCAGAACAACTGGTTGCCATGACATGCACTGACCACTAGGGGCCAGCCACTCAACGCAGGAACTGCCCTGTAGTAATCAGTGTGCTTCCACAGGGGCAGCGCAGTGGCAGTGATGGGAGCCTCTCCCACCTTTGCAGGAGCGCTAAGGATGTTCATTGGGAGCGGGCCTAAGCTGCCAGTCAGATATCCCCGAAGGGTTCCTGGACTGTGAAAGGGCCCATACTGGTTGAGTACATGAATTTTGTGGACTGGGCCTCTAGTCATATTATAATTAACAAGAGGTCCAGTACACAGATTTGTGCAATAGTGGGGTCCCTCAGCCTGGCCTGCGCCCTCTTGCAATCCTGCAATCTGGGATCCCTTGGGGGGATGTAGTAGTGCATGAAGTGACAGGTGGCTGGGAAGGAGCTGGACTGGGCACCACACTGATCCCGCTCATCCCAGCCTCACTGCACCTGCCTCCGCTGCCACTTGGTAGTGCATTGCTATAGAGATCGGAGAGGCTTGCGCTCACCAGCTATGAGCCATCCAGCTGTTAGCTGTGCAGTGCTCAGGCCATGGAAATTCACTGACTACTAGGGGACAGTTCCTGTTTTGAGCATGTGCCCCTTGGTGGTCAGTGCACATCATAGCAACCGGTCATTCAGTCTTTCGATTGCTTAAGCTTTTATATATAGAGATTAGGAGCCTAGTGCACAAATTTGTGCACCTTGAAAGAAGCTGTGGGTCACAAGGCTGCCGTGGGCATAGGGATGGCTCTCAGCTGTGCCCCTGCCTGCCCCCTGCCAGCCTTGCTCCTGCCACTGCCATTCCCACGTGCTGATGGCGTTGGCCCTACTCGCACCCGCTGATGGTGCGGAAAAATTGGGGGCAGTGGCTTCAGTGGATGCAAGTGGCAGCTACTTTCCTTATCCCCCCTGAGGAACAGAGGGAGATGGAGAGTCCCTCAGGGGTGTTTAGGACCGGCTCTGGCAGCGGGTGTGAGCCGCGGCTCTAGCACTAGCAGTGGATGCTAGCGGGGCCAGTGCCGGCAGCAGGTGCAAGCACCTGGCAGGACTGCGGAGTTTGGGAGCAACGAATTTTCAGTAACCACCATATGACAGCCCCCACTGCAATCATACTGATGTTCTTATTTAAATCTCTTTTAGACATGAAGAAGAACATCGTCGTCGTGAGGAAGAAATGATTCGACATAGAGAACAGGAAGAACTGAGGCGACAGCAAGAGGGCTTTAAGCCAAATTATATGGAAAATGTAAGTAAAATACTAGTTAATTAAAATTGCTGTTTGTTGTCAGGGGGTTATGTATGTTGAGAATTGTTTAGGTATTACTTAATAAATTAATATATTTTTTTAATCTTTCTGAATTTTTCAAGCTTTTGTGTGTTAAATGATTTTTTTAAACCTCTTTCAGATAGAAAATTAAAACTAGATTCCGATGGTAATATTCATGCTTCATGAAATATATGTTAATTTTTCTTCAGTTTTACCTTATTTAAAAGATGTTATTTAATTAGAAATCTCTTTAAATCTATCTTCACTTGATTGATTTTCATCATTTAATAATAATACAAATTCTTTACTTTGTAAGATTTTAGATATTGTAAAAGTAGATTCACATTTGTTCATCAGGCAAAAATAATAGCTACCAACACCCCACTGATCTTTTTCTTCATCTTCAAGTATATCTACTTTCCCCAATTATTTTGTATAAAATTCCCAACTTCAAATGATTTTACTCATCCCTATTTTAATATGTATTTTGAAATGATAAGGACTTGAAGATATGATTTTATTGATTTTTAGAGAGAGAGAGAGAGAGAGAGAGAGAGAGAGAGAGAGAAACATCAATTGGTTGTTTCCAGTATGGGCCCTGGCTGGGCATCAAACCTAGCAGATGACCCTCTAACCAATGGAGTCACCTGGCCAGGGCAGGACTCTGAAATTATCTTTATATCTTAAAAATTGTTGATTCTTTTTTTAAAAAAAATATGTTTTTATTAAATTTTGAGAGAGAGAGGAAGGGAGAGGGATAGAGAGATAGGAACATTGATAAAAGAGAAACATCATTGATCCGGCTGTCTCCTGCACACCCCCTACTGGGTATTGAACCCACAAACTTGGCTTGTGCTCTGACCAGGAATCAAACCTGTGACCTTTTGGTTTATGGGTCTGTGCTCTACCGCTGAACCACACTTGGCAGGACAACAAATTGTCTCTTCTCTAATATCCTGACTAATAGAGGGAGAATATGCTAATTGACCCTAATGCTGTTGCAAAGTTGGCAGAGCTCACAACCTATAAGACGGGAATATGCTAATTGACTGCCCTGCCCTCAATGATGGTGGCACCCATAGCCACAAGATGGTGGTGCCTAGTACCCTCAGCCTCCCAGCAGCCCAGGGCTGGCCCGAGGCACAGGCAAGCCTCTGATGGCAGTTGCCTAATCGCCCAGGGCCACCCAAGGCTCAGGTAACCAGGACTGGCCAAGGCTTGCGCTGCTGGCAGTGACAGCAGCAGAGGTGTGATGGGCCATTGCCTTCCCCTGATCACCAGGTCTCCTCCTGCCATGAGGGCTCCTGGACTGTGAGAGGGGGCAGGCCAGGCTGAGGGACCTTCCCCTCCAGTGCATGCATTTTTATTCACCAGGCCTCTAGTTAACTAATAAATGCCTAAATTTGCCCAGGCTTTTAAGGTTTTTTTGTTTTGTTTTGTTTTGTTTTAAGACAATTGGTTTCTTCAAATTGTCTGATAAATCCAATCATTTTAGTTCATAGGTTTTTTCTCATTTTTAAGTCAAAACCCCCTCCCCCCCCCTTTTTTTTTAATCCTCACTGTAGGATATATTTATTAATTTGAGAGAGCGAGAGAGAAAGAGAAACATCAGTTGTGCCTCTCTTATGTACCCTTACGGGGGATTGAACTCTAGGTCTAGGTATGAAATGAAGTCTGAGCCCTTTTTGGTGTATGGGACTGTGCTCCAATCAACAGAGTCATCCAGCTGCGGCATTTCCTCCCGAGTGTTATTGTATACATTATCTCATATGAATTTTATTGAATGTTTTTTTGTAGAGTGCTTAACAAGTTTCTTTTTTTCTGAATTTCTCATAAAGTAGAGTTAATTCAAAAGAGATGATCTGACTAGGTGGTTATTTTGGGGAGGCAAAATGCTAGGGCAAACAAGGATACCTTAACTATATTAAAATTCACAAGTTTTTAAATGATAAGTAACAGAATCTCATCATTTATATTATATGAATACCAGCTTAATTCATTCTGAAAAATATTTACTACTATTTTTTCTCTAGCTGTTTAAAAGCCATGGTTCTTTAATAAGTTTTTGAAGCTAAAACTGTTCAAGTCTTTGTTGCCCTTTTTTCTGACCTTCTTGTTCCTGTTTTTTTCTGACCCCAGAACATTTTTATTTTTTAAATGTTTTTATTTTATTGAGAGAGAGATAGAGAATTGATTTGAGAAAGAAACCTGATTGCTTGCCTCCATATGCACCCCTACCGGGGATCAAACCCACAGCTACCTACCTGTGTGTGTGCCCTGACTGGGAATCAAACCAGTGACCTTCTGATTCATTGGATGATGCTCAACTGAGCCATACCAGCCAGGGCTATCCCTAGAACACTTTTCAACTTTCTTATTTGAAAGAATGTTCACACTGCAAAATAAGTTCTAACTTGTATGGTGGTAAGAAATTTTTATTTCACGCTCATCAAGTAAATATTATCATGCATCATTTAAATTCAATTTAAAAATTTTTATTTATAGGTTATATGAGCTCCGATGGAGTGGCTCAATTAGTTGAACATCATCCTGTTCACCAAATGGTTGCTGGTTCGATTCCTGCTCAGGGCACATAATCGGGTTAGGAGGTTCTATCCCTAGTCAGGGAATGTATGGAAGGCAACCGATCTATGTTTCTCTCTCACATCGATGTTTTTCTCTCTCTTCCTTTCTCTCTCTCAAATCAATAAAATAACATCCAAAGGTAAAAGAAAAATCTCTAAGATGTATTAAAGATTTAACTTATTTTTAAATTCATCACCAGATTAGAAGAGTACGTTTTTTAAGCATTGTAAATAGTTTTTGAATAATTTCTAACATTTTTCAATTCTATTTTTCTCTTTGCATATTTTAAACTGTTTTAGATTTCTTTGATTGTTATATTTTAATATAAACCTGTTGGATTTATCAATGTCAGGCTATTTTCTGATGTTAAAAAAGAAAGAATTTAAATTTTCATGCCCATATTTTGAAAACTAGTTGCTAGTGTTTTTCTTTTCAAATATAGTCAAGATGTAAACCTTTTCTTAGGAAAATTTTATTTGATTTCACTGAGGATTAGAAAATTCTTCCTAGTCCTTTTATGTATCTGAACATTTCTTTTACTTGGTGGAATTAACATTCTTAATATTTTTCTGACATAAACTTTACATCCTTGGAGAAAACATGTAGCTATTTGTGATAATGTGATATACATAAATCATTTAGGTTTGTAGAAGGAAATGATTAAAACATACTAGTATCCTACTGTTAAACTTGATTAAGTTTACCATCACAAACTTCATTGCAGACTATTTGAAATCTTTTCAGTTTACAAAATACCAGTGTTTTAATATGCTTGTTGTCATTTACTATAAGTATGTTCAATGGACAGATTATTATAATTTTACTTTTCTATTAAAAAACTACTTGGAAATGTTGCTACAATTTAACACTAAAATACTACGTAGCCTTATTTTTAATTTAAAAACATTTGTATGTTTATGATGCATTTTATTTTACTTTTTATCATCTTTCTTAAAAAAATTGGTTTTAGAGAGAGAGGAGAAAGGAGAGACATTGCTTTGTTATACATATTTGTTGCATTCATTGGTTGTTTCTTGTTTCTTATATGTGCCCTGGCCAGGGTCGAACCCCACAACCTAGATGTATCTGGATGATGCTTTAAACAACTGAGTTAGCTGGCCAGGGCTTAAAATGCATTTTATTGGTGGGCAAAAGTTTATAAATATTTAATGAATTTTGTGTATAAAAAATATAAATCCAACTCATGTTGGATTTATATTGGCATTTGAAAAATGGATTATTTACTGTTCCACTCTACTGCAGAACCTTTAAGAATAGTGTTTACATTTTTAAAGGGTTGATGAGTGGTGGGGACAAAGGAATATTAGAAAGTATTTGTGACCACAAAACGCAAAATATTTTACTCTTTGACCCCTTAACAGAAACAGTGTGCTGACTCCTGGGCAGGAGTGTTGATTTTCTTCTTCTTCTTTTTCTTTTTTAAATTAGTACTCTTGTTAGTCCTCAAAGTTTTCTAAGTTGTTAATTTTTTTGAAGAGGAACCATATTTAAAATAGTGTGTTAACAATGAAATCTTTGGGTGAAGATAATCTTTGTCCTATTTTTATTTCTGTGAGATTAGAAATTTAGAGCAGACACAATTGCTGTCAATTTTGTTTAATATATAACTTCCTGATACTTGTTACTGTACACTAATCAAGTACTAAAGAAATATTAACAAAAGTTCTGTAGGTCTTGACTATTTTTATGTTAATGGAGAAAACATTGAGGCAATTGTTTCAGTTATTTTATATTTACTTTGAAAACTGCCTTTGGAAAACTTGTTAAAATTTTTAATGTTTGTTTTTGTTCTTAAAAGCCTTGAAAATTAGGCCTTCTTATGTGCTTTCTCTTTTTCACTGGTCAGTTTAAAGGAATCAAATGGTAAGTGTTCAGCTCGCCCACATAGTAAGAGTAAAGTAGATTTACTTGTTTTAAGATGCCACCTCTGATTTCTTGCTAATTTTTCTCTTAGAAGTATTTCAGAACAACTAATAGTATGGGCTTTGAAGTATAAGATAAATACTGATTTTCTTATTTTGTGTCTTTTAATAATACTTTGTAAAAAATGGAACAAAAAATGAGGGAAAACATGTATCATGCTTGGCCATTTTTTTTTTTTTTTTTCTTTTTCTTTTCTTAGCCTTTAACTTTATCATGATTTTATGGTGTACATGTGAATATATTTTTAAAAGTTTCAAGGCTATGTCAGTACTTCATCACTTAGATGTTGTCATTTTTATTTCATATCTTATTTCTCCTTAAAGAATGTCAAGCTCTATGATAAAAGCTCTAGCAATTATAAATTAAACATGTAGCATAATGTATTTTTGACTACCATAACAATGCATATATTTTTATACTATGCCTTCATTACATTTACTTTTTATCTT